TTTCTCTCTCTCTCTCTCTCTCTCTCTCTCTCTCCCCTCTCTGTCTCTGTCTCTCTCTCTCTCTCTCTCTCTCTATCTGTCTGTCTTCTTTTCTTTTTCTTTTTCTTCTTGCTCTGTTGCCCAGACTGGAGTGTAGTGGTGCAATCTCAGTTCACTGCAGCCTCCACCTTCAGGGTTCAAGTGACTCTCATGCCTCAGCCTCCTAGGTAGCTGGGATTACAAGTGTGTGCCACCATGCCCGGCTAATTTTTGTATTTTTAGTAAAGACTGGATTTCACCATGTTGTCCAGGTTGCTCGTAAAACTCCTGGCCTCAAGTGATATGCCCTCCTCAGCCTCCCAAAGTGCTGGGATTACCTGCGTTAGCCACTGCGCCTGGCCCAACATCACATTTTCATTCTCAGGAATTGAATATCAGCTTTCCCTTTAACTTTTGAGAAACCTGCAGCGTTTTCATGTATTTTACTCACAAATACTTAAATCTGTTTTTTTCATCTCTTTATTCTCTAGTTTATTTTTACCTTTTCTTTTCCTGTTATTAGAATTTCCTACTATTAGGATCACATGCAAATGCCTGCCAAGAACACATTCAGATCTTCGACAAAAAATACAGTGACGTAAAAAAGGATAGAAAGTCAGGGAAAGGGAGAAAGGCAGTAGACAAAGAAACAAAGCGTATTCCGTGTCTGACATGTGCCGACTGCTTAGTGAGATCACTTTTCTGATTTTCACTGGACAGCTGGATGGTTTGGGGCAGGGGGGTGTCCCTGAAATTAGGTAAACATTAAGAAAATGCTTATCTTAATGGATGAATTTAGACCAAGTTTTCCAGTGGTACCTATGGTTTTTAAAGGAGTTACCCATATTCACGGGTATTTGCTTGAACTTTCTTGTTCATAGGGAATAAGATGATTACAAGTTAGCCATTCTAAGTTAATTATTAGCATTTGATTTTATTATAAGGACATATTAGAAGCAGTGAGTTTAACAGCATAAGCAAGGATTTTTAATATATTGTAATTTAAGAAAAATGGAAAAACGAATATAAATTTCAGTATTTTTTAGGATGACTTTAAAGGTTTTTCTTAATAATTCCCATGTATGACTAAACTTGGGAGAATAACTGCTACTTTTCTTATGAGTTACCTCTTAGCAGCACCTCTCATCAAATCTGGTTGAATAGATTGTTTTCTCTCTGGCTTCAAGTTCTCTTAATGCTATTTTCTGTTCTCAGTGAGATAACTGGCCATATTTTCTCTGTCAGAATGATTGAAATATATGATGCTATTCATTAGAAAATATAATGGGTTTCCTTAGCAAATTGTTCCAGGGTATACCATCCTAATTTTATTTGACAAGTAAAATTCTGTTCATTATTTTATTGCCTTTAAAAAGCACTCCAAAATGTGCAAGTTCTTAAAAGAATTGAAGAGGTATTCATGATTCTCTTCTCTTTCCTGTTTTCTCTCTCTTTTGTTTCTGCCAGTGATGGACATTGTAGTATGAATATGAACCAGAGGCTGGAGGGTGGGCCTGAGGGCTGAGAGAAACCACTTCAAGGGAGGCAGGTGGGGAAGGAAGGGAGAAGGAGTTTTAGAAGTCACCTCAGAGACAAGTCATTTATTATATCCATAAATTACATTTGTGTGGATTGGGATTTACTGTAGCTCCATGGCCTTTCATATATACATGGACTATGTTTACTCAGTATTTTGCAAAAAGCTGCTTTACAAATCCTTATCTGCATTGTATACTCTCTTCCACAAATCTGGTGGGAGTAGCATTGTATAGGAGAGCACAGGTTTTAGGGCAGTGTTTCTCAAAGTGTGGTTTATGAAACTCCTGCCTCAAAATATCTGATCTTGCTTAAAGTGCAGGTTTTTCAGCTCCACTATAGATGTTGAGTCAGAATTTCTGAGTTTGAAGCAGGGGAATCTGAAGGTTTAAATAATGTTCCTGGGTGATACCTTGTGCATGCTAAAGTTTGAGAAACCACACTACTATGGAATCACACTAATAAATGGTTTGAGTCTTTGAATACAATGTGAATGGTGTCCCGTAGCTTTATCAGTACTCTGTTAACAGGAATTAGCTGTATGACAGGCAAACTAAGTTAAATGTTTTTATACCACTACTTCTGTGATTGTCAGTAGTATTTGTCATAGTGTTTCTGAAAGACTGCAAGGTTCCACATGCCCTTTGAATCATTGGAGAAAGACTGAATCATGTTCAACATCATAATTGATGCTGAGCAGATTTTATGACATTTTATTCACAGCCTTAAAAATGTATAATTTAAATACAGACTACATGCTTAACAGCCTGCAGATAGAAATAATGATTAGCTGTGAGTACCTTATTTCCTGAATAGACCACATAAGAAAAGCTAAAATATATGTTAAACATTTGTGATACCTCTGATTCTTTCATCCACTTTAGTTAGGCGTTAGAAGATTCTACTATTATCACAGTCATTGTTTCCCTGTACTTGTGAATGATTTATCATTGATCTCAGTGTTGGAATTTGGTCTTTAAATTTCTAGTGAAAAGTGTTGTTCTGAACCTTTTGATTTGTGTTAAGAATTTGCTAATTTTTTCTGCTGACTTTGGATTCTTCCATTGAGGCAGTCTTTCAACATTTATTGAATACTTACTATGGTTTTGGTAATAGTCTCTGTCTTGAAGCCAGGAAAGACTGAATATGCCATGATCCCAGAATCATGGGTAGGAATGGAGAAAGGGAAGAAAGAGCAAAGAGCTGGAAGCGTGCCAGTAAACAGGGTCTGAAGCACAGCAGATGGGTTTGGAAGAATTACACACACTTGGCTAGAATGTATTATAGTCAAGATCTCAGCCTGTGTTCCCTGATGCCCTGAGCCTATTTCCTTGTCTCTTAGGCGGGGGTAGAGCCCCTCTATGTAGGGTAGACAGGAGTAGGAAATGAGAAAAATGTGTGAAATAGTACCTGCCTGAGTAAGCACTCATTAAGTGATAGCTATATTATAAAGTATTATTAAAACAGAAAAAGTAGTGTGAGAACTTAAAGGAGTACATACATGGACTATAAATAATTGTATGTATTTGTCAGCTATATGCAAACAGACGATTAATTAGAAATTATGTGAGAAAACAGGTTCACATGTGTAATGCTGGTTGAAGAATGATTTATTTTATTTACGATTTCAGGTACCAAAGCAGTCAGACTCACAGCCTAATTCTGATAACCTAAGTCGCCATGGTGAATGTGGGAAGAAGCAAGTGTCTTACAGAACTGATATTGTTGGTGGTGTACCCATCATTACTCCAACTCAGGTTAATATTAACTCTTTTACTGTGTGAGGGTCTAATTATTGTATGTTGATTTTTGTATTATTTAAACTAAAACATTGTGTCTTTGCTGAATTAGTACAATACTCAATTACTATAAAATATTTTCATTTATTTCAGAAGTATTATGAAATATTTGGAAGTCACATAACATTGAATACTTTTCATGTTTTCTCTGAGCCTTTCTTCGTTGTACTTTTCACCTCAGCAGTGGAGAGATGAGTTCTATATTATACTTTGTAAACAGATTTTTTTCACTTAAATCATGAACATTTTCCAAGTCATCAAAAATCCCTTTATATCATTTTTAATGACTATATAGTAGTTCTTCCATGGATTTACCATAAATTACAAACCCTCTATTGGACAAATAGAGTTCTTTTCCTTTTTGTTTCTTTTACCTTTATAAACAATGCTACGATGAATATTCTTAAGTTAGCAAGTAGTAATTTTTAAAATCTATTTTTTCGACAACCGGGCCTAAGTGAGCTAAACAGAGGACGAATTTTAACTAAATTATATCTCAGAAGTACTAATATGCTAAATTAAGTCTTTATTTGGGTTTTAGGAAAAATATAGATTTATAAACAATTTTTGATGAAATTAAAAATCTTGTTTGAGCTTAAATTTATTGTTTTACTATTGAAAAGGATAATTTGTAGTGGAAATTAAGTTACTAGTAGTTGAGAAACCAAGAATTTTAAAGTAATCAATTGGTATTGCCAAGCTTGGCATTTTTATTACCTGTGTGCCTTTTGAACTTTGACACGTTGTAAATCTTTTAAATGAGATTGTATTACACCCCACATTTTTCAGGTCTTTTGCTAGGGGAGGTGATTAGTGGGATTAAAAATCTTACAACATTAATTAAATAATTAACCATTGAGTGCTTTCTTTATGCTTTACAAAGGGTATGTTGGTGAACAAAAATTCCTGCTCTCATAGGAGTGTACATTTTTCACCAAAGTTGGATAAAAAAATAAGCTAGGATTGTGAATTTACTTTTTCCAAAATTAATGCTTTTAAGCTGTTAACCTTCTGTTTACTATGTAGCTAGATTAAGCTCCTTCACTTGTATTATGACCTATGTTGACATAAGGGGTAAGACAATTTTCCTGTAGTTGTGTTAAGATATTGTATTAGTTTGTATCTGTGGCTGTTTTAATTTTGCTTAGAGTTAAGATTTTGTTGCATTGTAATTTTGGTATAGATATTTCAGTAGGTTCTAGGATTTTATGGGGGAGTGTAATTAAAAAAATCTCATAGAATTTTATTGCGTCATTTATTTTGTAGTATAGTTTTAAACATTACAAAATAGTATCATAAAAGCATTTAGGCAATATAGTAATGAGAGAACACTAAATCTCATTTACATTAATGTATTCAGTATTGGATAAGCAGTGAGTTAAGTGCTAGGATTAAAAAGTTAAGTATATAATTAGTGTTGACCTGTCTAAACCTAGAAAGGGTTGAAAGTTCCTCAAGATATGTGTGACTCTTAGGACTTAGATTTTCTCAGAAAATTTAGATATTCTAGAAATATACTTTGGACTTATTTGTGGGATTCTAGATTGTCAGATATTATTAATAGGGAACTGGCTGGGCACATTGGCTCACGCATGTAAGCCCAACACTTTGGAAGGCTGAGGCAGGCAGATCATTTAGGTCAGGCGTTTGAGACCAGGCTGGCCAACATGGTGATACTCTGTCTCTACTAAAAAATACAAAAATTACCTGGATGTGGTGGCGCATGCCTGTAATCCCAACTATTTGGGTGACTGAGGAACGGGAATCACTTGAACCCGGGAGGTGGAGGTTGCAAGTGAGCCGAGATCGCACCATTGCACTCCAGCCAGGGTGACAAAGTGAGATTGTGTCTCAAAAAAAAAAAAATCAGTCAATAAACAGACAGGGAACCAGTGCATCCAGGAACATGAAAACCTGGGTATAGTTTATTTTTATTTTTACTTTTTTGAGACAGAGTTTTACTCTGTCACCCAGGCTGGAGTGCAATGGTGTGATCTTGGTCATTGCAGCCTCCACCTCTTGGGTTCAAGTGTTTTTCCTGTCTCAGCCTCCTGAGTAGCTGAGATTACAGGTGTGTGCCACCATGCCTGGCTCTGATTTTTGTATTTTTAGTAGAGGCGGGGTTTCACCATATTGGCCTGACTGGTCTTGAACTCCTGACCTCAAGTGATGATCTGCCTGCTTCAGCCTCCCAAAGTGCTGGGATTACAGGCATGAGCCACCATGCCCAGCCAATTTTTTTTTTTAAAAACACTGGACTTACTTGTAAAACATATAACTACAATACTTCTAGAAAACAGCGTAGGAGAAAATCTTGCTCTATGACTAAGCAGAGTTGTGATAAATCAAAAGCACAATCTGTAAAGCAAAAATAGGTAAATTGGACCTCATCAAAATAAAAAATATTTGCTCTGTGAAAACCTTCTTAAGAGGATGAAAAGAAGAGCTACACACTGGGAGAAAATATTTGCAAACCACATGTCCAGCAAAGCACTAATATCTAGAACATATAAAGAGCATGTAAAGAACTCAGAACCCGACAGTAAAAAGCCCAAGAAATCAATTAGAAAATTCATGAACAGATATTTCATCAAAAGATCAGAAATACACAGGTGGTAAGCAAGCACATGAAAAGATGTTCACCATCATTAGGTAGTAGAGAATACAAATTAAGAGCATGATGAAATATTGCTGCACACCTGTCAGAATGACTAAAATAAAAGTTAATGATAACACAATGCTGCCAAGAATGAGGAGAAACATGATCTCTCAGGTGTTGCTGGTGGGAATGAAAAATAGTATAGCCACTCAGAAAAACACTTTGGAGGTTTTTTTTTTTCTTTTCTTAAATAAAAGTAAGCTTGTGATTACTATACAACCCAACATTTGCAGGCCTAGGTGTTTATCGTAGAGAAAGGGAAAATTATGTTCACACACAAACTTAGGCATGAATGTTGATAGCAACTTTTTTCCTAATAGCTAAAAGCGGGAAACAACTCAAATGTCCTTTAATGGGTGAACAGTTAAGCAGTTGGTCATCCATCCATTCCATGGAATACAGCAGTAACAAGGAATGAACTCTAGAAAGAAGGAACAGACAGCCTGGACGAATCTCTAGAGAGTTATGCTGAGTGGAAAAGATAATCTCAAAAGATAACCTCCTGTATGCTTCCATTTACATTATGTTTTCAAAATGTCAAAGTTATAATCTTGGAGAACAGATTAGTGGTTGCCAAGGGATTTGGGGGCAGGAGCTCTAAAGCTGCACAAGGGAGCCTTGGGGTGATGACTAGTCCTGGGTCTGAAATGTGGTGGTAGTTACACAGATCTACATATGTGATAAAACTGCATAGAACTGTATAGACACATAGACAAATGAATGTATGTCAGACTGGTGGACTCTGAATAAACTTTGTGGGTTGTACTAATGTAGTTTCTTGTTGTTGATGTTATGCAGTTTCCCTCTGAGGGGAAACTAGTGAAAGGGTTGTAGGACCTGCTGTAATTTTTTGGGGCAGCTTCTGGTGAATCTGTGTAATTATTTCAAAATAAAAAGTTAACCCTTTCTCCCAAGAAGAGCACTGGTGGCAGGACTGGTGCAGAAGAGGAATGGAAATTTGTGCTTTAACCAGTGACAGGAAAATTGTGATTAATATCTCAGATTAATTAGAAAACCCTTCAGAAATCTGTTTCTAACTAATCTAACATTGATTTTAAGATTTTCCATTGGGATAGCATGAAATAAAAGTATGCTTTGAAACTAAACAAGCAAGAAAATTATTTATTTATTTTGCTTCGTTTTAGAAAGAAGAAGTAAATGAATGTGGTGAAAGTATTGACAGAAATAATCTGAAACGGTCACAAAGCCATCTTCCTTACTTTACTCCTAAACCACCTCCGGATAGTGCAGTTATCAAAGCTGGATATTGTGTAAAACAAGGAGCAGTGGTGAGTAGCCTAACAAAATATATGAAATAATGAAAAAGGATTATGTTCTAGCAAACTCAAATTAACAGGCAAATTGTTTGCCTTATTTTATGAAAGACCCAAAGTGAGAGACCAGCATGCTGAGGAGAGTCAGGAGATAAAATAGGGGTTATTCTGTGCTTAAAACTCAGTGCTATTATTTGCTTGGTTTGCAGGGGACCAGGAAAGTTAATGCCTATTACCATTGACTTTCAGTTTAAATGAGCTTCCCTAACAGCTTAATGTTCTAGAAAGTTTTTCTGTTGATCTCCACTCATCCTCAGGAGTGGGCCAGGGAAAGAGAGCTGTAGTGAGGAGATGGCAGACCAGGGGCGGGAGAAGGAGTGGGGGGTGGTAGGATCCCTTTCTTGATTAGGCATTGGGCTGACCTCTGTGACCTTGGGCTACTTACTTAACCTCTGAGGCCCTCAGTTTCTGTTTTAAGGACTATCATATAAAACCTACCATCTAGCGTTTTGTTTTTTAAGAGAGGTGTGTTTCCCTTTGCATAGCACCTGGTACTCGGTAAAAGCTGTTATGGGTTAGCGCAGGTATTCCCACATAATCAGTTCATGATGAATTTTTTTGCAAGAGCAAGTAAATTTACCAGTATTTCTGAGGTTGCAACATACCTTACTATCTAAGCCATTCTTTCTGTGTGAACTAAATCTTTAGAATTTCATAAGAAAATAAACTTTAAAGTTTGAAAATGTTTTTTAAAAGTCTGCGAGTAAATGAATAAAATTATTTTGGTTGTTCTGTTTGACTTCTCATCAGTTTTTGGCAACTCTAATTTTTTTAGGGCAGCCAGAGGAATGTTCTTTGACCCCGTTTGACCTACTTTAGGCTGAGGAAAATGGCGGTGAGGGCAGGGGTTTCTTACTGTAGAATGTCTGCAGGTAGAGTCAGAATTCTCATCAGGCTGTGATACTCGGTTTTATGTACAGACAGCCTGATGGTTCCTTTTTGTTTCACTCTTAAGTCCAAAATACCAGTCAGAGATATTTAAGTGCTTTTGCAAAAACTGTATTTTATTGACAAAAAATATTTGTACAAAATAGGTTTACTTTATTAAATATTTACTGCTTTACTAAAAAGTACTTGTGGAAGAATTCATGCATTTTTACAGATAGAGAAACTTAATGTGGTTTAATAACATTTCCTGTGTTTGCTCTTTACATGGGGCGGAAGGAGGCAGGGAGTAGGAGGAAGGGGAAGTGCTTTAAACTATAAAAACTGTTTCAGCATCAAAAATATTTAATAATAGCGTAAAACCATACAATAAAAAATGAAAGCCAGGCACCAAAAATTGAATTAGGAATTCAAAGCCTGGGTAGCTAGAGAAGGATAAGATTTAATTTATCGCATCTCTAAGGGAGGTAATGAGATTTTTCAGTGCTTGGCATGTCTCATTGTGGGTTCATATCAGGGTAATTAAGTGGTGACTAACATTTGACATTCTTAGAAACAGAAGTCTTATGTCTGTGTTCATCTCTGGTAGATGAAAAACTGGAAGAGAAGATATTTTCAATTGGATGAAAACACAATAGGCTACTTCAAATCTGAACTGGTACGTTGTTACATCATAAACGTTGCCCTAAAAATGTTTGAAAAGTGTTGCATTGTAGTGATTATATGTAATTTCTTGTACTGTTCGCTAGTGTTAGAATAACTAGTTTTTACAGATACATAGAGTTTATTTGGTTGTGATGCTTTTGGTTAATGATATTTTTCTTAAATTTGTGGTTAAGTAAAAAGATCCTATCTTCAAAGCGGCATTCTACCCTGAAAGATCTGAAGATCTCAGAATCCCCTAGTCTGTAAATTTTCCCTAAAGGGGCATCAGAGGAGCTGGTGTAAAGAATTCTGTCTATAAAGTCAACATTTAAGCCTCTGTATTTCTGCCTTCTCTTAATATATTCTTTACCTAGTTCAGATTGACTCATAAATCACTTCACATAAGATGTTTTTGTCTTCCCTGAAGGTAGAATCAGACATTGAAATTCCCTCTTTGCCTCGTGTGAGTAGCATCCTTATTTAAAATATTGTTGGGTGACCTGAGCCCTGAAATAGCTTATTGGATAAATTGAATGCAATTCTGTACTACAAATGTCTGTCCTACCTCTTCTTTTTGTATGGGATCTTTGACAAGGGAACTTTATACTTTATTTGGATGAAGTCACCAGAACAGCATTGTCCATTAGAACTTTCTGCACAAATGGAAGTGTTTCGTGTATGTATTTTCCAATGGCACTACCTACATGTAGCTGTTGAGTGCTGGAAATGTGGCTAGTGTGACTGAGGAGCTGACTTTATTTCATTTTAATTAATTTAAATTTACATCATTATACATAATGGCCACTGTATTGGCCAGCAGAGCACTGATGTATAGGAAGGGAATAGTTTAAGATTGACCTCAGGAGTCAGCTCCTTCTGGGAAGCTTTTAGACTCTGGATTAAGTGTCTTCTATTTATATGTCCTGTGGTACCCTATGCATACCTGTATCATAATACTCTTCTCAGGGTTTTGCAGTCACGTGCATACTTGTCTTTGCTACTAAATTAAATGAGCTTCTTGAGGGTAAAGACTCTTATAGTCTTTTATGATCACAGGGCCTGGCACTTGGTAGACAATCGGTAAGTGTCTTTGAATGAATGTAAAATGGCATAGCACAGCAAGAAGAGGCATTTTAGCGTGTGGCTTTCTTAAAGCTTAAGAGCTTCAACTGGAAGTAGTAGTTACTTGGTTTAGAAAGTACCTGCCTTGTTGTCTCAGAAGGCTACAGTTGTGCTTGGTCAGCAGGTTGACTCATTAATCTTATTTAATGCCAATACTCCTGGGAAGAGTCATTCATGTAACAGACATTCATTGAGCTCTCCGTGAATCTGGCACACTGTTCTGGGAACTGGAAATAAAGGAGAATAATTAGCAAAGTTCTTTGGCCTCCAGGAGTTCAGTTTTGGTGGGAAAATTGACATGTGCCCCATCATCAACAGTAGTTTTAATAATTAGGAATATTTTCAGTATTTAGAAATTGCAGATAAAGCTGAAAACCTTTAAAGGCCAGTAATTATAACTATACTTACATTTTCCTAATTTTACTGAGTCTAGTTAATCTATCTCCTATGGTAGTTCTTTGTTCTTTTTCTTAAATTCCACAGAATAATGCCCAGCGTACAGGTTTTCAAAACTTAGTAAATATTTCTGTAGTAGTTCTTGTCTCAGCTTCTCCTCTCCCAGTTTTAACATTTCTGAAATCTTAGGGATATTTCTTAAGAGTTGCTAAGGGTGAGGGGCAGCCAGGCTGCACATGCTACCCTTTGGGTAAAATCCAGAAGACACCAGCATCAGCATGTGCAGAAAACAGTGCTGGCAGCTTCAGAGAAAATCTCAGGGATATCATGAAACATTCTTAAATGCTGCATCACCAACACTTTTTGGCATAAAGAATGGTTTTGGAGTGAAAAACATGGACATTGGTGACTCCAAGTCAAAAATTGATTCGGAAGATCTGGAATCTGGATGTGAAATCTTAAAAAACTATAACCAGTCCTGGGGCGGTGGCTCTCGCCTATAATTCCAGCACTTTGGGAGGCTGAGGTGGGCGGATCACCTGAAGTCAGGAGTTTGAGACCAGCCTAACCAACATGGAGAAACCCTATCTCTACTAAAAATACAAAAATTAGCTGTGCATGGTGGCACCTGCCTGTAATCCCAGCTACTCAGGAGACTGAGGCAGGAGAATCTCTAGAACCCAGGAGGCGGAGGTTACAGTGAGCCGAGATTGCACCATTGCACTCCAACCTGGATAACAAGAGTGAAACTCCATCTCAAAAAACAAAAATTGTAACCAGTATATCTTGTTTATATTTTTCTCTTTTACATATGCTCAAGAATGATATATGATAAAAATGTTTAAAGTATAAATGGGCTCGTTTATAAAACCTTTTCATTGTGGAAAAGTATAAACATACACTTTTAATAGACAGAAGTAATATATGGAACCTGCATGTACCCATCACCTAGATGTCGTAATTGTTAACACATGGCTCAGCTCGTCTTGTTTCAGTTTTACCAGCCACTTCCTGCTTCATATTTTGAGGCAAATCCTAGATATCTCCCATTTCATCTGTAAATATCTCAGTGTGTATCTCTAAAAGATCATTTAAAAGTTTTTAAAATAAGTATAAAAGACTGAAGTGTACAGTTGAAAAACTGGTGAACATATTTGCAATATATATTAGTGATAAAACTTAGAATCTTAAGAAATGAGAGGATTTTGCCCCACCTTCTTTGCCCTCTTTTCCTTTCGTCAATCCCAAACAATTCAGACCCCATTTTATTAGGTGAGGCAAAGCAACATAGGCATCCAAGAGGAACCAGTGTAGCCTTGTGTGGGTGTCAGAGCCCACACAGGATAAGGAGGCTGTCTTCTTAGGGGGTTAGCCCCACGTGGAGTAGGGAGAGAAGGGCATCCACATGGGGTAGGGGTGGTGGCAGAGATGGGAGAATGGCCTCATACATACTGATTGATAAAATAAGGAAATATATTAAGGATAATAGAAGCCAAGTTTCTTGTCAGAGAAATAGTAGTTTTTGGTGAATGGATGTATATCTATATGTATGTTGAGGAATGAGATATTTACATAGTTTCAAAGTACCTGTCTACTAAAATAGGTATTAAGTATTGTGCAAGGTGATAAAGTAACATTACAGCCAGGAAACGTGGCAGATACCACTTTACTCAGGTTGGTCAGATGATTAAAATGAATGTCATTGTTAATGAAAAAAACTGAAATCACTTACCACCTGACAGGGTAGTGTTAAGAAGACAACATCACTTTGATGATTCTCCTGCCCAAGGTGTGTATTCTGAATCTCATCATGAGGCATACCCAAATGAGGGTCATTCTCCAAAGTAATACCTTGCACTCTTCAATAGAGTCAGGATTATGAAAGTCAAGGAAATAATGGGAGCTGTTCCAGACTGAGGGAAAGAAAATATTTGATAAGCAGATGGTGTTGGTGCTTCTCAACGGAATTCTTTTGCTCTAATAAAAGTCGTTTTGGGCACAGTTTTTTGATTCTGATGATTATGTTGTGATTATGTAAGAGATGTCTTTATAGGAAAAGTATTCAAGGGTAGTGTGGGACAGGTCAGCAACTCACTCTGAAATGGTTCAGGAAAATCAGTTCTTTGTGCTGTATTTTCAATCCTTGTATAAATTCATGATTGTTTCAAAGTTTAAAAAAGAAAATGGTTGGGAAAGTATCTGGTAGGCAAATGAACAAAAGACATGAATATTCAATTTAAAAAAATTAAAATAGGTCTTAAAATATTTTAAAAATTCAGCATCACTGATAATTAAAACTGCACTGAAATATTCTCATCTATCATGAGAAGGTTGTGGCTGAGTGAAGAGATTGGCAAATCCTTACCCATCCTGTCCAAAGGCAACTGTAAATGCCATTCTGTAAACAAAAGGAATCAGGAACCCTTGGCCATATAACTGATTTCAGAGTTGGGGCAGATAAAGTACCACCTGAGGTCAGAAAATGAAGTTGTGCCAGAAAATAAGGAAGTGCCTCAGAGAATGAATGGAACATGTCAAAAGGACACAGAAATTACTTTGAAGGGCCTGACCAAAATGCAGACAATTTAAACAACAAAATAAATAATGATAGCAATGGATTATAACCCATAGAATAAGATGAGTCATGAATAAATGAGAAGGAAAAATATTTACTTAGAATAAAATTCTGTCTTAATATATGTAGATGGATTGATGGGGTTAGAATAAATCACCATTTGGCAGCCACTAGTAATGGTTTCAGGCAAGAGGCTTCAGTGTTCAATAAAATTAGTGGCAAAATTATGATGGGAATCCCAATATTACATCAGTTCCAGGTATCTCCCACAAGATACTTAACAATGACAAAGGGAAAAAGTAATTTTATAGTTACTGGCAAACATGACCTTAAGCGAGAGATCAGAGTTAACACACCGGTGACAGGACAAGCCACCATCAGGTGTGTACCTCCTAATAGTGGTCCACTGAGAAGAACAGTGTCATGCCTATGGCTTCCTGTCAAAAATGTATAACCTGAATTTCAGCAAATATCAGACAAACTCAAATTGGGAGGTGTTCTACAAAAATAACTGGCCTGGTCTTTTTAAAACTCTGAAAAATGATTGAAGAACTATTCCACAGTTAAAGGAGACATGACAGCTACATACAAGATATGACCCTGGATTAATTAAACCCTGGATCAGAAAACAGTTGTCCTTGTGCTATAAAGAATATGAGTAGGGCAGTTAGTGAAAGCTGAAGATGGTCCGTAGATTATAGTATTGCATCAGTGTTGAGTTTCCAGTTTTTATAATTGCACTGTGATTATGCAAGAGCACATCCATGTTTTAGGAAATACACACTGAAGTATTTAGTAGTAAAGGTACATCATATTTGCAACTTACCTTCAGGCATTTCAGGAATCTGTATATACTCACACACACACATATATAAACACAGACAGTGATAAAGCAAATGTAAAATATTAACAGTTTAGAAAACAAGGTGTAGGTTATGTAGAAATTATTTGTACTGTTTTTCTAAGTCTTTTATAGTGTGAAATTATTTCAAAATGAAACTATTTTGTGAAACTTTTTAAAAAAGATCTGTGAATTTATTTTTTTTTATTTTTATTTTAAAGCACTCCAGGCTGGATGCAGTGGCTCATGCCTGTAATCCGAGCACTTTGGGAGGCCAAGGTGGGCGGATCACCAGAGATCATGAGTTTAAGACCAGCCTGGCCAACATGGCAAAACCCTGTCTCTACTAAAAATACAAAAATTAGCTGGGCATGGTGGTGGGCACCTGTAATCCCAGGTACTCTGGAGGCTGAGGCAGGAGAATTCACTTGAACCCTGGAGGGGGAGGTTGCAGTGAGCTGAGATCATGCCATTGCACTCCAGCCTGGGCAACAAGAGCGAAACTCTGTGTCTCAATTAAAAAAAGCACTCCCATCATGGTTTAATTTTATTTTTGGTGCTGCATAAAGTAATGGTATGTCTTACTCTCATGCTGTCATAGTCAATGAAATATGTATATTATATTTTATGGAATGTATACTAGAAATATGCTATCAGGAGCCAGTTTTATTTTATATTTGTATCATATCTACTTTGTAACCTTGGGTGTGATACTTAACATGTCTAATCTGCAGTTTCAGCATATGAATAAATAGTACATGTGTTGTAGGGTTGTGGAAAGTGTGAGATAAAACATTTAAAACCTAGCAGATGTCTCAGCACTTAGTAAACGTACAATTGTGTGTGTGTGTGTGTGTGTGTGTGTGTGTGTATTTATAGAAGTGATATTTGAAAAATGACAAAATTAAGTGAAAGAAGCTGGATGTGCACTTGCTCTGCTGACTTGTATATTAAAGTGACATTCCAGAAAAGAAGGTGCTGCGCATACTGGTATGTGCGTCCACTGGGGACAGTCTGATGGCTAATAGCTATTAATAAGCTATACTGTCTTTAAGGCCAGAAATAATGTAAATAAGTGTCATATGCAGTTTTTATTGTTTCAAACAACAATGTATATGAGACTGTAGTGTTTGAGCTGTTCAGTTGCTGGATGGCTTAAGAAGGTAGATTTATTTCTAAGATGTGCTTTAGAAAAGAAGTATGATTTTCACATGAGTCTTCAAATAAGACAGCTAACCTTTGGAAGGTTTTTAAGAATGAACGTCATGTATCTGTTTGTGCTTTTTTTTTTTTTTTTGCTTTTTTTTTTTTTTTTGCCAGGAAAAGGAACCTCTTCGTGTTATTCCACTTAAAGAGGTTCATAAAGTCCAGGAATGTAAGCAAAGGTAAGGAACAGCTCTGACTTGATGCCTGGCACAACTTAGGAACACAGAACAGCGCCTTAGTTTGAGGAATATACTTAAAAATTACATTTTTCCATATAAATTGTAGTTATGTTTAACTTTTTATAGCTGAGATATGCTAGAATTTTCAAACCCTCAGATTAAAGGTTATATTTATTTCTTTATAGTTGAGATATGCTAGAATTTTCAAAACCCTCAGATTGCAATATTTTGTTCATTTGAAAACTAAAAATTAGGAAACAATCCTTTATTTGTTTCTTTGAAATCTAAAAATGCAGAAACAGCTTATTAATGGAAAGGAAGAAATTTAATGTGAACAACTTGTGGTTGGGCTATCAGATTTGACAAATTGATGTATTAATTTTAGTGTTTAAAAGATGCAGAATAGAGCATACAACACAAGAAAACGTGTTAGCTGTGACAGTGTTTCACCAAACTGATTACTAAAAACTCTGAACTTTAAAGTTGCATTACGAACTTTTTTAAAAGGCAAAACTACATAAAATATGTAAAATCTTATATGAAAATAAAGGGGAAAAGTAATTTGGGTTTGTCAAATCAGTGCTTTACCTCTTATATTTATTTATTGACACATACTGGGTACTGGGTAAACAAAGAGAAATTGTCAAACAACTGTTATTTAAGTGTAATTGGATTTTTTTTCATACAGTGACATAATGATGAGGGACAACCTCTTTGAAATTGTAACAACGTCTCGAACTTTCTATGTGCAGGTAAGATGCTTACTTGGCAATTATAGATCCTCCTAACAAGAAATGAATAATTTTAGAGGTGAAATAAACATAAATAAGCTTGTTGCTCTTGAGGTTTAAAAAATATGACAACTGTAATTCACCAGCTTAATAGAAGGATGGTATATATAGAGTTATTGGTAGAGTTATATGTTCAGGAAGTGGGAATATTCTTTGTTATGAACTAGTGAACTAGAACGAAGTATTTGGAGAAAGGGAAACGCTTTTAATTTAGATGTTAAGTGCGTACCTTCAAGTCAGATTACTTTTGCACATATTTTAGAATTTTGATTTTTCTGTTATATCATTTTTTGGTAACCTTATAAAAAAAATACCCATAGTAAAAGTAGAGAGTAGATCTATATGGTTTCACTGATAGTTGGCATCTGTATTTAAGTTTAAATTGTACTTTTTGCATACCTCATTGAATTATTTAAAAAGAAAATTTTTATAAAGATTTGGGCTGGTGTGGTGGCTCACGCCTGTAATCCCAACATTTTGAGAGGCCAAGGCAGGCACATCACTTGAGTCCAGGAGTTCAAGACCAGCCTGGGCAACATGGTAAAAACCCATCTCTACTAAAAGTACAAAAATTAGCCAGGCGTGGCGATGCAGGCCTGTAAGCCCAGACTTGGGAGGCTGAGGCACTAGAATCACTTGAACCCAGGAGGCAGAGGTTGGTGTGAGCTGAGCTCGTGTTACTGCACTCCAGTCTGGGTGACAGAGTGAGACCCTGTCTCAAAAAAAAACAAAAAACCACCAAAAAAAGGATGATTTGTTTTTGTTTTATTGAAGTTAAATATGCTTATTCTAGAAAACTAGGAAAATATAGAAAGATGTGGTTTATAAAACAGTCCATTCCACATTGAGGCAACCATTCTTATGTTTTTGCTCCCTTTCTTCAGGTATATATTTTTATAATAGGTGGGGTCATACTAAATATAGTGTTATATTCTGTTTGTTTAATATATTGTTATTTTTTTCCATGTCATTAAAAATTATCTGAAGACCTTTTAGAACTACATCATACTCCATTGTATTGATGTTCTACTAGTAAATTGTTTCTGTATTACTGTGTTGCTGAACGTTTATATGCATAGTTTTTATACATTTACTGCAATAAATGATGTGATGAAATGCATCTTTGTGCATTACTTTGCCTGATTTCTGTAGGATAAGTTTCTAATTGAGAGTAACTATTGGAGTGTGACCCTTTCTATTTTATCAAATTAATTTCTAGGATTATATTTCCATACTAGTGCTGAATGAAATATACTCTACCTTTGCCTGTTTTTAAGTTTTTGTTAATATTTATTCAAAAATATCTTGTATTGTAAATTTTTTCATATTTCTAGATTCTAGAAGTATAACAGATTCTAGAATATAGAAGCAAGAGGCAGTATCTCTGTAACCCTGCTTGGGGCCTTATTTAATTAGATTTAATTTCATAGTAAGATTTAAAATTCACATTGAAAGCCAGACTTGTCTGTCAATACTTGTAGGATTTAGGGTACTACTAGAAATTATTTCCAGAAAAATAATATGTAAAATAATGTCAGAATTTTAAAAAATTATGCAACTACATAAATCTTGTAGCAGATTCAGGTGGTCTAGTGATAGAGTGAAATAAGAAGGGTTTTCTTTGACATCCTCTTCTCGTTTTCTCTCTGGAGATATTCATTGACGCCTTTTGATGGGTCTGATCTTGACATTGAAGTGCTCAATTTATGTCTCTGTGAAGTAAGACCTAGCAAAACCTGTTTTTAAAAAACAATTTCTCAGTTTTTTTGATAAAATTGCCTTAGAGTGATTTTGTTGATAATAGTATTTAAATTATCAAAATCAATACATTGGCTTTATAGAAGTAGAAGCTGATTTTGAGGAAAAGTTGACTGAATGAGTTCTGTTTTCTTTTAGGCTGATAGCCCTGAGGAGATGCATAGCTGGATTAAAGCAGTCTCTGGCGCCATTGTAGCGCAGCGGGGGCCTGGCAGATCTGCATCTTCTGTAGGTTTCCTGCTCTCTGGGGTGATATTCCCTTGGGTCCCCCCATCCTGTTGAATTGTTTTCCTTCCTCCCAATCCATCTGGTTTCTTTCTTTATTGAGATTTATTTGCATGTTGACTTTTATACCAATTGGACTCCAAAAAATAATGCATTTCTAATTTAATACTTCCTTGCAGTGTTACATATATATAACTTTCTGTGAATTGTATTGTGTTAAATGCACAAGCAGGGCAACTAAAGAATGAACATTTCCTTGCTTTGTCTTAGGAGTTCTTACTTGTCAGTAGCTCTAGATCTGGCATAATTTGACAAATGCTTAGTATGGTGTATGGCCTGATCATTAAGACTTTTAGTTGTAGCATTACACAGCTTTGTGAACATCTTGATTTCCACTTTACTTCCTCTGATTTCAGTTGAGGTTTTTTTGTTTTGTTTTTTACCTTTGGCTTCACCATGCCATAAGATCTCTGAGCAGCTGGGACCTTAAATGCATTTCAGTGTTCCCAGTGTTTCCAGTTCATGTTTTCATTCTCATTTTAAAACCTGCCTGAAAAGTCTGCTTCTGATAACTACCATAACTATCTCTGTGGTAGTATGATAATAAAATTGAAATACAAATACACATTCTACTCTGAAATATTTTTTCAAAAGATTTTTATTATGTTCAAGTACATAAGAATTAGATTTGGCTTTGGAATACTTTGGCCAGTGATCTCAGATCTGAAAATTCAAAGTATGTTAAAATGTAACACTGCTATCTGCAGAAAATAGTCTTGTCTGTAGCATGATAGCCTTTATGATCTAGATTTACTATGATATATATGCTAGATGCTTATACTTTTAATATTTTTTTCTGATTCTATTATAATACTGCCTTTTATTTTCTGGTAGTAGTAACTACAGATAAATAAATAGAAATTAATGTTTCTGATTCCTTAATTGTTAAGTCATTCTCTTTATATCCTTTTTGAAATATCCAAGAAGTCATTTTCATAGATGTTCATTTTGCCTGTATTTTTATGTGACTTTTTCAGCAGTCAAGTTTGAGACTCTCTGCAAAAACAATGTCTGTTGGGAAGAGGAAAAGTTGGAGAAGGATGTTTGTGTTTTGTGCTTTGTGGTGGGGGCAAATTAGACTATCTAGCTATGACTGTCAGCACAACTTTCTCTTTTCCTCCCTCTACCCAGTATAGGTTAACTCTAATCTTAGCTTTGCACTGTGTTCCAGATGCGGCAGGCCAGAAGGCTGTCGAACCCTTGTATACAGAGGTATACATCAAGAACTGGTGAATGCAGCACGTATGTGGGCTCTCACGCAAACGTGCCTTCTTAGTGGAGGGCCCAGACTTACTCACTACTTACAACTGATCATAGAAAGTTGAGTTAACCAAACTGCCTTTTGCAGTTATTGTAACTGATTTTGTCAATACTAACGCAAACTGTTTCACTCTAGTCATCAGATTGGATATATATATTAAAAGAAAAAATTAAAACATACAACTTTACTAACAGAAAGAGACATTAACGTATAAAAATTAATATACTGAACTGCTGCAAGAGTTTCAATTTCTTTATGTACTTTAAGATTTTTAAAATACTACAACACTTATGAAATGCACTATTGTTCTAATAATATATGCAAACGAATGCATGCATATGCATTGGATAAACTGTACATTACTATAGTTTGCATGGCATTTAAAAATCTCTGAAATTTAGCCATCTAATAGGACTCTATAGTGTTTTGGTAATTAGTAGCACTTTGTTTTCAAAGCCACTAGTATAAAGGAATATAAAATGCTAGTATATAGCAGTGTATTTAGAATGGCCATATTTAAGGATATCTTCAGATTTGGTCTAGTTAGAAGCATATTGAAATTAACATTTACAACTGATAATTATTTCACCACAGTTTAGAATGTGATTAAATGTGTACCCTTTGTTACCTTTAAAATATTAAGCCATATGAATATATGACCTATTCAGAAGTAAAATTAAATAAAAATTGAAAAGACTGTGCTATTATTGGTTGCAGTGAAATTCAGGGAAGGAAAATCTAAGTTTTATCAGCAAAATAATGTTTGAAAGATGTTGATTCATGCTGATTAAAGAAATGTGGCCTTTCGTTGTCATAGTCTGTATTTGCTTTCTAAAATACGTGGGATAATTCCTAGTGTTGACTGAGAATATACTCTAAATGATACAGCTGGGAGGTTCTCTTTTAAACACAGTTCAGTTGCAGCTGGAACACTATATTTCAGTTTAGTTTGGCTGAATCTTCAAAGTGTCATAGGCTGCCAAATTCGGCTTTGGTGACGGAGCTGGTTTCCTAGTGGAAATGGTTTTTGGCTATCATCGCTTTAAACTCACCTCTAAAAATGCATTGCTTTGGGAAAGAACTTGCACATTTATGCTGCATGGCCTCTGCTTGTGCTCTGTGTGTGTGTGTGTGTGTGTGTGTGTGTGTGTGTGTGTGTGTGTGGTTTGTTTTTCAGAGGATCAAGTCTCACACTGAGTAACTAACCTGGTCAGTAGTGATGGACTGTGTCTGACCGCCACTCCTTTTTGCAGGAGCATCCCCCCGGTCCTTCCGAATCCAAACACGCTTTCCGTCCCGCCACCGCAGCCGCCACCACCTCACATTCCACAGCCTCTCGCAGCAACTCTTTGGTCTCAAGCTTTACCATGGAGAAGCGAGGATTGTACGAATCTCTTGCCAAGGTCAAGCCAGGGAACTTCAAGGTCCAGACTGTCTCTCCAAGAGAACCAGCTTCCAAAGTGACTGAACAAGCTCTGTTAAAACCTCAAAGTAAAAATGGCCCTCAGGAAAAAGATTGTGACCTAGTAGACTTGGATGACGCGAGCCTCCCAGTCAGTGACGTGTGAGGCAGACACGCATGGAGCCTGCCTGCCTCTGCCTCCTGTTTCCTTTTGTGAGGCTTCTAGCCAAAGATGATAAAGGGGAAAATGGGTTTTAGTGTGGATGTTATACTGCCTCTTAGGTGTATTCTTTATAAGCTGGTAAACCAAGAATCTAGGGAGTGGCCAAACTAAATATAATTTCTTTAAAAAGAAAGAAAAAGGAAAAATCCAAAATATCTCAGTGTCATCTGTCTGAAGCATTGTGTGTTCTCATTTGGGTGGTAACAATGTGCGTGTAATATTTTTTCCTAGTGATTTTGACAGTTTAAATGTTTAACAGCTTAAAACATTAAAAATGCTGATTAATTACTTTGGTCATTTAAAAAATGCTACTGTGACGTCTGATTAAACGTTCAATATTTACACATCCTTATTGGTCACTATTACCAAATGAAATATTGCCAGACCAAGATACCTAAACTCATGATGTCTGTGGTGCTGTAAAATTTATACTGCAATGTGGACTCTGTTGAAATTACAACCATTTTTGATGCCCTGATCTTGAGGTGAGTTGCAAATTTTGCATAGAGGATATTATTCGACCAACAGTAAGGGTTGTGGGTTATACTGGGGTAGAGAAAAGGGGAAAACAAGAATTCAAACAACTCCGTCTTAGATGTTTGTTTGGAAAAGCTTAATCAGGCCTTGGAGCAGTCAGTGCTTTCTTCAGCAAAAATTATTTGGTAGGAAATTTTTGGGAGATCTGACTTTCTTATAAACGTTTTGTAAATAGTTCTTATTTCTATATTTGGATTGGTGAAAGACCTCAAGTTTATATGTAAAGACGTAACTGCCCTTAGTCATGAAATTGTTGTGACCTCTCCTTTTTGTCACTAATAACCTAGATTCAAGTGCCTGTGTTTTTTCATCTTGTTTAGGAATGGTTTGAGATTCATATGCTAAAAAGTCCTCCTGACTGGTTTTAAACATTGAGATAAAATTAATTTTCAGTAGAATAATGTGTTAAATAAGATAGCATTTTATGTTAGAGATACCAGAATGCTGGTATTCTACTACCTGTGCAATATATATGTTTTAAAGAAAACAAATTTGGGAATACATTTAATCATGGGCATATAGATATAAGCACCCCTCTAAAGAATTCTTCATTTCTGGTGTTGAATTATAGACCAGTTTGAGTAAATACTGGTTTTTTGTTTTGTTTTTTTGTGGGTTTTTTTTTTTTTTGAGACAGTGTCTCGCTCTTTTTGCCCAGGCTAGAGGGCAGTGGCGTGATCTCAGCTCACTACAACCTCCGCCTCCTGGCTTCAAGCAGTTCTCCTGCCTCAGCTTCCTCAGTAGCTAGGATTACAGGCGCATGCCACCACACTCGGCTAATTTTTGTATTTTAGTAAAGATGGAATTTCACCATGTTGGCCAGGCTGGTCTTGAACTCCTGACCTCAGGTGATCTACACGTCTCAGCCTCCCAAAGTGCTGGGATTACAGGTGTGAGCCACCACACCTGGCCCATAAGTACCGTTTTTGTGGTTCCGTCTTAAACATTTGCTTTAAAAAAACAGTCTTGAATTTCACATGCTGCTATTTTTATATTTTGCCATTTTACTGTACTGTTTTGTTTTGAATTCGTACATATCACTGAAAATTTCTCTTTTTCATTTTCTAAGGTGACTTCTTGTCTGAGACAGAAAAATTTCCTACTACAGCAGTGGGGTCCAGAGGTTAAGATCTATTAGAATTATATAGTATCAGTTTAAAAATCTGTATGCATAAAGAGTATACCACTCAACTTTTTTATTCATAAGCTAATATTTTTTTAAAGTTAGATTTTTTTCTCTTTTGCACCTACATTTGAAAGTGATAAATAGATTTTAATTATCACTTTTTCTGTCGATATATTCACTATAATGGCTTTTTTGAAAGTTTCTTTTTCATAAACACACCCAAGAAATCTGATATGGACACTTTGCAATATTTAAGAACCTAATGCTGTTTAATTTTGGTACAGCTTCCACACTGCATGTTCATTTTAGCATATTTTGGTATTTGCAATTTGATATATTTCATGGTGGTAAAATATTAGCTCTATTTTGGGACATTTTAAAATAGAACTGTCCTTGTTCAGTAGCATAGGAAAATGTTCTTGTGATTGTCAGGGTCTCCTAATATTTATCTCAATTCTTTTATAAGTCTATGGAAATTATTTAATTATTTTAAAACTTACACACTTCTCTGGTAAATATGTCACATCTGAGTTCAAAAAAATTACTTTGAAAACCTTAATATTTGCTGCATTTTTTTTTCTGTATATATAACATGTCTTCTTTCAGAATGGGAATATATGTGTGCCTCCCAACATTTATTGTTAAAGTCTGTTATCTTTATATGTCAAACTGGTTGAACACTGTAATGACTTGAGAATAAACTGCACAGAGTTTATTCAGACTTGTTTCTCGTTTTGTTTGATTCAGCTCTTGTGTGAACAAGTAAACGATTAAGGATGTGTTTGGTTAATTGACTTCAATTCACATATTTAAGGACAGAGTAATTATTTGGTAATCTTTGCAAGAATAAGAAACATCAGAACTGAATTCTTAAGTCATCACTTCATGTGAAATCATAGAAGGAAACTTTTTTCTTCTTTTTGGTAGGGGAATGAACTCGCTCATTTTTCTTAATTAAAAGACATGTTCTCAAAAGCAAAATTACAATATGTTAGCCTCAGAGCATAGTGTGGATCACCTGGGCTGCTTACAGGGCTCCGTGATTATTTAGACGGCCTGATGTAAGACTGAGCAGAGAGCATCTTGATCTCTGGGTGGGCAGTTGAGATGCACTCATAAACTATGTCAGGTGTTAGAGGCTGCTCCTTGGAAACGTTCCCTGTTGTTGATAAATGTCCCATGTCTGTTACAGTGAACACCACATACAGGGCCTAGTGCAGTGCTTGGTGCACAGGTAAAGCTTCAGTACTTCTCCAGTGAGTGAGGACAAGGCATTAATGTAGAATGTGTGAACTTCACACATGAGAGAAAAGTGTATCCCTATTTGCTTTGTTACATAAACCATACTTTTGAAATTCTGGAATATTCTTTCCATAAAGCAACTTGACTTCAAGATTCGAGATAGCTTCTTTTGCTTGTGGTATCTAAACCCTTGTCAGATCCTGCTGCTTTTCCCCGGTATGTTCACACATTGTCCTCTGAAATTCAGCCAGGAATGACTTTGAACCAGTATCTCCGCTCACCTATTCATGTCCTGGTGGGGCTCTCCTGGATTACCCTATTCCTGTCATTGTGCAGGGTAAGTATCAAAGGGAACATCTTGATCTGTTAACTTTCCTCAAAAGCTGAATGACATCTTAAAGATCAGCTAGGCCAAGCCCCCACCATCAGTGCTAACTGAGATAGATTGAGACCCCCGAAAGGAGGAGGATTTGCCTGGCCCATGGGTCATGTTAGCAAGGAGGCTGCAACTGTTGGCTTCTCACTGAACTTGGGAGCATCACTAGGATCTATGCCCAGGGGGTAGCTAGAGTAATTAACCAAATATACCAGGTTGCTTCCTAATAACCTATGGGATTCCGTTGACTTGGTATTGTTTTTCCTCAGTCTCTTTTTCTGAAGGCCGTTTGTTGTGTGAAATGCTTTCTTCATCTTAGCCCCTCAGATCTCTGTTGAGTCAAATGACTTGGGAAACAGCAGCTTAACGTACTTGGTGTATGTGTTCTAACATGCTGCTCCTACAAATTGATGGGACACATTTGCCCTACAATGCAAGGATCTTGGGGTTGTGTCTGCGTTTCGCCTGTTAGGTTTTCTGCAGTTCTCTTAGACCGTGGATCGTGGATACGTTTATGTTTGTTACCCCTTTGTTGCAGCATGCTCAGCACTTCAAAAAGGGGAACATTTATTTGGTTCTATTTAGGAAGAGCTTTGAATTATTTCCAATGAACTACTTGTTCTACTCTTTTCCCCCCTTCACACTACTGCACTTGACTAGTCTTAAAAAAAAATGATTTCAAAATTTTACAAAAAAAAAAAAAAAAATGTGCCATTGCACGTGTAACCCATGTTTTCTTGTTCACACCAGCCACGGGAGATGGTAATAGCCTGGGTAACAATTTCAGTCTTACTTGTCCAGGAGCCTGCTTCCTTGAAAGTGACTGATATTCCAAATTGTTTCTCTCTTTCCTATTGGGTCTTGGACACCTGATAGTTACCATCGTGTTTGTCCACTGCTGCTATGGTCTTGCTGATGTTGCCCCGAATAAGTAGCTGTGTTGTACGGATACATAATTTTTATTTAAAGCTTACTCCTGGACACATTTTATCCATTTTTGAAAGATCTAAACTAGCTTGACTAGTAGAATTAGGTAACAGTACACGGTTCAAACAAAAGTATTGCCTTTTGCATTAAAAGTTTCTTTTTGCTTAGTGTCTCATTGGTCTGAATGTAACGGCTGTCTTAGACCAGACATCCTGGGACCTGTCTTCAACTCTAGTTCTGCCATATCTGAATTGAGGCAAGTGTCTGTGTTTTGGAACTTCACTTTCTATGTTATGTAAAATGGAATTGGATAAAAGCTATCTTTGTCTTGGTAATTATTAACTGATGCAACTTATTTTTTTCCTTTGAAAAGTATTTTTTATGTTTTTATCCTAAACCCAAAATAAGAAGGGAAAGTTGTAAACATTTTTGCTTTAACAAAAAGGAGATCCCTTTGTTAGCAATTCTTTCACTTCCAGTTGCAGTTCAGGAATTTTCTGTAAGTGGTGTTTGTACCTTTATCAAAAGCTCTGTTAACAGTTGGTAAGGCAAGAAATATTTGTATCAAAAATGCAAAGATATCACAGCTTAATACCAGATCTATGGGTTAGCCCATATAGGATTTGTGTATGTTGTCTATTTTTTAAATGATTCATGTAAACTGTATGTTTTAAACCTCAAGACACACATTGAGAATATTGCTGATTTGACATTAGCATTTACAGTTCTGATTGATTAAATCTTTGTATTTTTTGATACATTTAATAGTCTTACTGTGGTATATTCATGGGGTAACAGCGCCACCTTCTGGTTATATCATTGCCAAATTTAAAAATTGGTAATTTGGAGTCTTTGTTTATTGCCCCCATAGAAAATTAGAGAAGATATGTGATTGCCTAGGATAGTTTTGAAATTAATGTAACATTTAAACCAACATATACAAATTATACATTTTTATGTAGACATAATTGTAGGTTCACACAATTATAAGTTGTAAGAAATAAAACTTTCAAAATGGAGAATATTTAGTATTTGGTCCTATTTGGAAAGAGCTTTAATTATTTCCAAGAACTTACCTGGGTTTAGAAAATAAAGTTTTGATTTTTTAAAATTATGTCCTACCTGTCAGTTTCTATTTCTGTAAGAAATACTGTAGAACCACACGCCCGTAGCCCCAGCTGTTCAGGAAGCTGAGGCAATTGGAACACTTGAGCTTAGGAGTTTGAGACCAGTCTGGGCGAAATAATGAGACACCATCTCAAAAAAAAAAAAAAAAAAAAAAAAAAAAAAAAAAAAAAAAAAAAAAAAAAAAAACAAGAAAAGGAAAGGAAAAGATACTATGTACTCTTTACTCAGAGTAGTTTTCCCCAACATCTTGAAAACTGTAATACAATATTATAACCAGGATCTTGATGCTGATACAGTCAAGATGCAGAACAGTTCCATCATCACAAAGGCTCCTCTTGGTTGTTCTTTTTATAGTCACATATATCTCATATTCCATAGGTTTGGAAGCAGACTTAGTCACTTGCCCAGAGTCACATTAGGCTTGAAATGTATCTTTCTGATATCAGAGTTTGGGGTCTTAACACACTACTACTACTGTCTCAGTAGAAGTCGAAAACTGCCTTTTAAAACATTACTTCCAGATTATTAAATGAGTTCAATCTATTGTCAACATTTCTAGAACCATACTATTTCAAACAACAGATTTCTTTGTACATATCTTTAAATTTAACATTTGAGAATCAATCATAGTTAAGTATCCAATTATAACTTCCATGAAAGAGTTCAAGCCCTGACATTTGATAAATAAGATTACCAGAATAAGGTAAAGAGTAAAAAACAGATTAAAATAGCTTTAAGATGCTGGATTCTTGCTTTGGAAACAGCTGTAGGGCCTGGTTATAAAGATAATCACTTGGTATAGGCTACCAGTTTTTTCCACGTGGAGAACTTTTGACCTGATGGAGTTGGTTCAGTAGGCGTCTTCAGTGTACGACATGCACCACACAGGAGGCCTAAGAAGATGATGGCATCCACAAGGAATCCGCCAAGGGAAAATACAAAGTAATATGTGATAAAATCTAGCATGGAAAACTACACATCAGAGACTGAGGTGGCCCATGGGTGATGGTGTGGGTAAGGTAAATGTTGTGATGGAGAGGGCCTTTGCAGGGTCCCAAGGGAGAAAAAGGTACTTCTAAGTAAAAGCCATGTGACTAAATTTCTGAATGTTTATTTGGGGGCCCAAAATGATAGTGAAATTTTAAATTGTTCTCTTAAGGATCCATTGTCTCTTTTTCCCTTTTCCCTCCCAAAATGTGATATGTATGCCTCTTACATAAGTTTTCTTTAGGAGGCAGGAAGAGAGGGGGTATGGGGAATTTTCCATGGTAAGGAAATTGCCACATCAGCTTTTTTTTTTTTTTTTTTTTTTTTTTTTTTTTTTTTTTTTTTTTTTTTTTTTTTTTTTTTTTTTTTTTTTTTTTTTTTTTTTTTTTTGTGCCTGTCTTTGGTATCTTATCTTTGTGATATAAATGTAACCTATTCCCTGTGAAAACATTTATTATTTCCAAATAGGGGCCTTTGGTCCCAGTGGCATCTGTTTCTTGATGGCTGTCACATACAGCATGCTCATGGTCTGGGTTCCTGTTGTCACTCATGCTATCTTTTCTTCCCATTTGCTTTTTGCCTGTCTCTTTTGAAGGTGGAAGATTTTCCAATGGAGCAGATATGGCAAGTGAGAGGAAGGGAAGAATTAAGAGTAATGACAAGTTTTTTGACCTGAACAACTAGAAGCCATGAACTGAGGTAACAAAGATTGCAGGTAGAGAAGGTTTGATGGGAAATATCCTAATTGCAGTATTGATCACAGTATTGAATGTTAGGCTTGACATGTCTGTTAGACATCCAAGTAGAAACGGCAGGCACTTGGATATGCAAATCTGGAATTGAGAGACATCATTACTGGAAACAAAAATGTGGGAGTCTTCAAGGTATGAGGTGCTGTTTAAGGCTTTGAAACTGGGTAAGATCACCTTTAGAGAGAATGAAGATGAAAGAAGAACAGAGGACCATGGCATGAGCCCTGGGGCACTGCAATATTAAGAGCTTTGGAAGAAGAGGAGGTAGTAGCCATGATGAATGAGAAAGTGTGACCACCACATCAAGAGTATCTAGAGTACGTGGTGCCTTAGAAGCCAGGTGAAGAAAATGAAGCAAGGAGGAGGTGA